AAATTTGAAGACTACTGAACAACTAAAACTCGATAAAAGATTTTAATGTTTTTCCACCTACTCATTTTTGCCATTAATTAATAATTTGCCATCGTATATACCAACCGCATAACATAATGCTAACAAGCCATCTTTTACTGTGGTATGCAAATGTTACCGTAATTTTCGCGCTGCATTGTACAAAACGGTGCTAAATGCTCTCGTAATAATAAGGAGGCTTTCTATAGAATGGTATAATACCTAGAAATGAAAGAACAATGATTCAACAATCGTCCGCTGAAAGACATAACGTTCATGTACGGAGTTATGTTCGCCACTGGCTGCGGGGTAAGAATGCCATTCTTTAAAAAGAAAGATAAGAACAACAAAGGGAAATGGAATAAAACGAGGCAGGTAACGTGGGAGATAAAATGCGGTAAACGAATAAGGAGTGAAAGTATGACAGGCTGAAGATGCACAACCTACGCGAAATCTCGAAGAGAATGTTAGAAAGAGGAACGGTTCACGGAAAATTTTACGAGAGATGGCAAACAAGAAAAAGTGAGAGATCTTCAGACAAGTTGAGATAGGTACTTTAAAAAAATGGAATCGCGTGCTCATAATGCAATAGTGTTGTTCGAATAACCTATTTTTAACACGTGTTTCTTGTTCGCATATTTTCGCAACTCATTACAATCGATAGGCTTACATACAATTAAAAGTACCAATGGTAGATTGAACTTCGATAATTCTCTTTGGAACAGTTCGTTTATTAAAAAATTATGAAATGTATCGATTATCTACTTTCATCTGTAATCTCTAGACATTTATGACAAAATCAGAAGATCAAACGTAAAACTGTGAAAACATTTAAGGAATTTGAAATTACTATCAACTTAGTGAATTTATTAAGCCTTATTTATTAAGCCTTGGCGGACTTAGACAAAAATTTTTATAGCTTGTTTTTAAAAATGTTAAGACGTCAAATTGACGTACGCCACTCGTTGAAGGTTATTTGCAAGAGACATAGGTGAGATGCAAATGTCTTTCCTCTTTTAACGATTCTAATAAGTTGAAAATAATGTAACAATATCCTTAAATTCCTCTATTGTCTCCACAATTTTGTACTTCACTTTAATAATTTTTGTCATAAATGCATAACATCTGCTGTCCAGTCATTAATTTTACAAATTTATCTAACTAAATATATTCAAACAGTAAAGTACTACCACCAGAGGATATTCAGTGGAAAATCTGTGTTTTTATCCTCCTGACTGTAGGTAACCCCTTAAGAGTAATTAACGTTGCGGCAATATATTTATGTTAGCTTTGGGCATTTGAATGTCGTTCTGGATACACTTAAAGCAGAGCGAAGTCCTCGCAGGAGTCGTTTTAATTTGAAATTTGTCTTTTTGTTCGTTTTATGTCCAAATTTAAGGGACGTTTTAGAATTCCTTGAAGATTAAGGTAGACTAAGGTATTCGAGCCTTGCGGCTCAAAAGACGAGCCTCATTATAATAGTTTCAATTTTTAGGCGAGTTGAACATTAAAATCAGTACACAGAACATAAAATTGGCTATAAGTGAAATTTTGGGAAAATATGTGTGACTACAATAAAATGGCAAACGTGTAACGTGACAATTTAATATGAGAAAAAATACATAATAATCCAATCGCACGTACAGTATTTTTTATATGGAAAGTTAATGCAGAAACTCAAAATTTTATTCGTAAACAAATAAGTTATTTCGAGTAATATGGGCTAATAATTTCACTTGAGATCAATATTTAGAATTATAGGCTGCATGTATATTCGTATTCTGTTTATTTAACATAGAAATAAACCTGAACTCAGCGCTATTTTAAACTTCATACGTTTCTAATGTACTAAATATACGCAAATGAACGATGTTAAATCGAATGATTCATTGAAAAACGATTTCTTACAATTAGTGATCGTGATAACTCCATTACTTCCACCGCACTCACTCTTTATGATTCCCAAATAAATTACATATAAATTACTTATTATTTAAATTTACGTAATAAGTAAAAGGAGTAGAAATTAATTTTATTATACAATAATAATATTATTATATGTTATTTATTATTTATATATTAGTTATTATATATTATATAATATTTTATTATATAATATATAATAACACTTGTTTCATACAATGTACATAGGTAATTTATGTAATGAATTTATAATAATAGACATCTATCTTTTATTTATTTTATTAGTGTTTGTTAATGTTTTCAAAATTTACATCAATTTTTATTTTTATAGTGACCGAGTTATAACTTTACTTTAGGGTCTAAACATTACCCTTAAATCTAGATGGTAAACTTGATTCTAGACACTAACCCATTGATACGATTCAGATTACCAATAAACACGAGTATTCCGATGTTTGCCGGTATACCTTCCTATAAAATAAAATTGGAATCGATTAATAATTAGGAACGATTAAAACGAACAGCGAACAATTTTACGACTCGTAAACAGATGCAGATCTACTTTTCATTGCTTCGCAAATCAATGAAAACTGAGGAGATTGTCAATAAATTCTATTGCGATAGCCCGCACTCCAAGGAAACTAAGGGCATTGATGAACAACATAAACTCTCAAGTGGAAATATAAATTTCTAGTGCTGTTTTTAGAGAAAATATGAAAATTACGTTCTAATACAGTTTATTAAACATCGGTGGGAACTGATCTTCAATACTTCTAGGTGAGGTAACCCAGACCTAACCCAGGTCGAATCCGTAAGAATATACAAATTTCAGTGGGATTTTGTGTATGGCCAACAGACTTTACTTGAAAATGCAGTATACTCTAAACCTGGATCTAAAATAATGCACGAGTTTCTACTGAAGTTTGTATATCTACTTGAAAGTACAGTATAAACTAAACCAGACCTGCTCTAAACCTAAGCCAAAACAATGCACGAGTTTCTACTTGAGTTTGTGTTAGAAACCGAGTCTACTGGAGTACAATATACTTAACTCACACCTAATCCAAAAGAATGAACGCGTTTCTACTTGAGTTTGTGTATTACAGACAAATTCTACTTGAAAGTATAGTCCTCACGCGACAAGAAGGCACCTTTGTGTTTACATTCCCCCTCTTACTAGCTACCCCACTGCTGCAAGTATCGATCGCTATTGGCCGAAAACGTCGACGAAGCTCGACGACGGTCGCTAGTGACCAATAGCTGCGGGAGTGAGGCAGCTATATATATCGGACGTTATTTATATCCTCTATTATTTTTTTGAAAGCTCGCTCTAAACTCGAACGAGTGGTACGTGTATATAGGATAAATTGCTGTGCTTTGGTTTATTTTTGGAAATACTTAACTTTATATTTATTGAATAAAGCACATTACATTTTCTTACTTTTTCATTTTGTTCCTTTTTTAATGAAAAATTTTGGGTACAATGGAACTTTATATTTACCGAATAAGACGTAATAAATTTTTGTATTCTTTTATTTCCTTTATTTTTTAATAAAAAAATTCTATTATTTTATTTTATTTATTTTTTAATGAAAAATTTTATTCGTTCATTTCGTTTACTTTTTAACAAAAAATTTAATATATCTTAGTTGATAAATAGGAAGTTAATTATGCTCGAATACCTTAAGCGAGAAGAGGTTACCCGGTTATTGACAGAAGAGTTGGATAAGTCCAATCAACGCTCAAGAATGTAGTTTACGCTCGGTTGCCATAAACGGAAAGACTATTAGGTGAAATAGCGTACTGGGAACCTTTAACACGTTGACACTGATTGTTGCCAGTCCTTTCTAAAACTCTAGCAACGTTGCTAGAAAAGTACGTGAGTCGGATAACCGCAAGCCACGGGGTAGGTGAAAAACACATTACATCGTGACGTAGGGTTCCCATGGCAGCTCGTTGGTCGTACCTCTTACAGGTTGAGCAGGATAGAGGGAATCAAATACCCTCCTTGCCTGCGGCTTGGATGTCGATGTAGCCGAGACCCTCGCGCTGGTTATTACACATAGCCGACCGTGCTACAATTTTACGAATGATTGTCCCCTCAGAGGATCGTACATTCTCTCCTTCTTTCTCTCTCTCTCTACAAGTGAAGTTATCCCGCGGTTCTTAGTACCGGTGTAGGCTGGTTCAGACATCGTCGAAGTAGCCAGTTTCCGTGTTACAATGCGGACCCTCGGGGAAGATAAAGGATAGAGAGTGCGTTCCCGAAATTGTATTATATGTAATACCTCGTCGATTGATGTTACAATTAACTGAGACTCTCGGCGTAAGATACAACAACCTCTCCAGTTTTCAATCAGAAATCGAAATAATACATTTTTTGTATCTACATTGTTGTTTATAAGTAGACAGCGAATTTTTTACGTTTATGATAAAAACGTGTGGGAACAATTTAACGCGTTGAGCGCCCGCGCGTTGGTCAAATATAGGCAACACTAATTTGTAACCAATTTTGAACATTCATTTTCATTATAATATATTCGAACAAACTGAATTTGACTAGGATGTTTTGGATGCGAACGATCTATAAATTAAATTGCTTTGATTTCGTGGGAAATTCAGTGTGGTCGATTGTCGGCACTGAACATGTTAAAACGATGAACAAATTAATACATTTGAAGAGTATCGATGTACTGTTATTAACTTGTTAAAATTATTACAGGAAAAATTAAGTGTATATCTGGTACCTGTCTCTTACAATCGGTGCAACAAATTTGTATATTGCATAAACACCAACAGCCTATTTATAAGTAATCTGGACCCAAAACACGCATTTATGTTTGGTCATTAATAAAAATGTATAAATACTATAAATCCATAAAGATCCGCAGTCTATATATCAATGTACCGTATTCTTTGTTCACGACATGAACATACAATAAGTTTATCTCTGATTACATTCACGTACAAATAAAAAATGATTATCGCAATATGTGAACATTGAAGGATATAGAAATAAAACAACAACATCGTAATCTGGTGCTTTCTTAATGTTGCAGCAAGACTGTCCGAATGGTTGTTTGACACCGGCAAAATTCGTCGACATGTACAAAATGTTCTTCCCATCCGGCAATGCAGAAGAATTCTGCGATCATGTTTTCCGAACTTTCGATATGGATAAAAATGGTTATATCGATTTTAAGGTAAGTTGAGTTTCTCTGAATTGATTTCTATACATACGGTATACGTACATAGATATATGTACCCTTGCGCCGCATGTCCGGCGGACAAATGCATCTTCTATAGTGGGCAATTTCTAGTAGCGGACCACATAATGGAATATCCTTTGCTATCCTCGTGTCGGTTATTCCAAACGATTGAACCCGATGTACAATTTCGGGAAAAAGGAACAGCTACGAAGATTGATATTTCACAAACGTTTCTTTCAAATTAGAAACACGTTACGACTGTTCGCCAAGAATGGAACAGTTCTGGAACTTTTTGTTAGGTTCTATTCATTATATGTATAATATAACAATAGTTATGGAACTTTTCTTCGAGAAATTTCATGCCTTCAAGTCCCAATGAGAATACGTAAAAAGCAGTTTTTGAAAACGCAAATTTTCAGACAAATAAAATTTATAAGATGTGAAGATAAGTATTCCGCTATAACGGGAACAGATATTTTCTTGAAAAGTCGTCGATGTCTTCGTTAACGTCTTTCGATACTCTTCTGATGTCCTCAAATTCAACTTTCGAATTGTTTTCCCCTAATTCAAACACTTCATTGATTTCAAGTACTCAAGTGTCTTCAAATTCACGCTGCACTTCTGGTATTGAGCTAATATTGCCAGCAAAAAGCTACGATTTGCAACAAATTGAATCCAATGAATCAGGTGTGGAAGATGCAGAACATGGCATTAATCTACGCGCAGCCTTTAGAGAAATTGCAGAATACAAACCAAAATTGATTTCTATAGAAAGTAATTTATCAGATCATTAATCAGAAAAAGATAGTGATTTTTATATTTTTGTAAGCTAACAAATGTTATTCATAGCGTTCCTGCTACACAAGTTAGCGTTGAACGTGCATTTTTAACACCGAAATGTACATTAAACGACAATCGGTATAATCTAAATTCCACGTATTTAGAAAATATTTTACTCATAAAATTATTATATTATAATAGAATTACTATACAGAGTATCTCACATACATGTATCTTGCAAACGTTAATATCTTCGTTAGTTCTGTCAATACGGAAAAATATTTCAGGACAAATTTGTTCAGTTCAAGGTTAAGAATGTTATAATTTATGTTTTTTTTCTCTCGAAATTATTTTTTCATCTGAATAAAATTAACTGACTAAAACATAATAATGTGCAAAACCTTGTTTATATAAAACTTATACATTATGGAATAATCACGTATTCATGTTCAAGTTGTAAAAAAAATGTAAATTTGTTTAATGTCGAAAATCGATGTTATAATGTAAAGTACATCTTCGATTGAATACATCGGTTATCCGTTTTGTTTCCATTTACATAAAACAGGAAGGTTGTATTGGAAATTAAATGGTTCGATTTGCGGTGACTGTATCAGCGGTCAAGGAGGATTCGGCTAGGTGGTAATCCGAGATTTGCGTTTACTTAACCCAGATTTGGAGATTTCACTAATCTGCGAGTTTCTATTGAATGGAAGTATCTCTCACTACACAACTTTGTATCGCTTAACAAACCCAATCGTATTGTGAGTGAAAAAGAAAAGAATATCAAATCTATTTTAAAAATCATTTTTTTTTTGCATATTTTCCACCTTAATTTTTCTTGTAAAAACTACATGTATAACAAAATATTTCAAACCAAGGTTGTTGAGGCAATAATTAATTGTTTATTATTTTCCTTTTTCATCAAAATATGAACGATACTTTGAGTTTTTTTTTACTAAAATGTGTAACAT